GTCTGTGAGCTCCCTTGGGCAGAAACCATGTCTCTTTTCTTCATTTCTCTGGTATTGCCCTGACCAGGGCCTGGCACAGTGTAGACATCGGTGACTGATGAAAGAATGAATAGCACAAATTACCCTGTGAGAGAGGGGCAGGCTTTTGAGTATAGAGATGATGCATGGATGTGCACATAAATCATTCAAAAGACTGTTGTGGGTTTTATTATTGCTGCTAATGGTGTTATTCTTGGTAGAGATGTTACATTCGGCCGGGTGCTGTGGCTCACGCCTGTAATCCCAGCACTTTGGGAGGCCGAGGTGGGTGGATCACCTGAGGTCAGGAGTTCAAGACCAGCCTGGCTAACATGGTGAAACGTCATCTCTACTAAAAATACAAAAATTAGCCGGGTGTGGTGGTGTGTGCCCGTAGTCCCAGCTACTCGGGAGGCTGAGGCAGGTAAATCGCTTGAATTCGGGTGGTGGAGGCTGCAATGAGCCAAGATTGTGCCACTGCACTCCAGCCTGGGTGACACAGTGAGACTCCATCTCAAAAAAAAAGCCCGTAATCCCAGCCCTTTGGGATGGCCAATATGGTGAAACTCCGTCTGTACTAAAAATACAAAAATTAGCCGGCGTGGTGGCGCACACCTTTAGTCCCAGCTACTTGGGAGGCTGAGGCAGAAGAATCGTTTTAACTGGGGAGGCGGAGGTTGCAGTGAGCCCACTGCACTCCAGCCTGGGCGACAGAGAGAGACTCCGTCTCAAAACAAGGAAAAAAAAAAAGAACAACAACAACAAAAAAAGGATGTTACATCCCAAATGGCCTGACCTACCCAGTTAGTGACTCTTTTTTTTTTTTTCTTTTGAGATGGAGTTTTGCTCTTTTTGCCCAGGCTGGAGTGCAATGGCGCAATCTTGGGTCACTGCAACCTTTGCCTGTCGGGTTCAAGCGATTCTCCTGCATCGGCTTCCCAAGTAGCTAGTATTACAGGCATGCACCACCATGCCTGGTTAATTTTGTAGTTTTAGTAGAGACGGGGTTTCACCATGTTGGTCAGGCTGGTCTTGAACTCCTGACCTCGTGATCTGCCCACCTCAGCCTCCCAAAGTGCTGGGATTACAGGCGTAAGCCCACACAGCAGACCAGTTATCTTGATGCTCTTTTTGTAACTGTTTTAGGATACCATGAACTATGCCCATAATTAGACTGCAAACTTAATTAATAAATGTTGTGTGTGTTCTGACTGCTTCACTGGCTGACTGTTCCCGGTCTCTCTCCCTCTCCTCAGGCCTTCCTATTCCCTGAGACACAACAATGTTGAAATTAAGCCAATTAATAACCCTACAATGGCCTCTAAGTGTTCAAGTGAAAGGAAGAGTCACACATCTGTCACTTGAAATAAAAAGCTAGAAATGATTAAGCTTAGTGAGGAAGGCATGTCCAAAGCTGATAGGCTGGAAGGGAAGCCTCTTGTGCCAAATAATTAGCCAAATTGTGAATGCAAAGGAAAAGTTCTTGAAGAAAATTAAAAGTGCTACTCCACTGAACACATGAGTGATAAGAATGCGAAACAGCCTTCATGCTGATAGGTAGCAGTCTGGATAGAAGATCAAACCAGCCACAAAATTCCTTGAGCCAAAGCCTAATCCAAAGCAAGGCCACGACTCTCCTCAATTCTGTGAAGGCTGAGAGAGGTGAGGAAGCTGCAGAAGAAAAGTTGGAAGCTAGCAGAGGTCAGTTCATGAGATTTAAGGAAAGACGCTGTAGGCTGGGCCTGCAAAATCCCAGAGCCCTTACGAATTATGCTGAATCTACTCTGCCTGTGCTCCTATAAATGGAACAGCAAAGCCTAGATGACAGTATAACTGTTTGTACTATGGTTTACTGAGTATCTTTGTGTTTTTTTTTCGAGGCAGGGTCTCACTCTGCCACCCATGCTGGAATGCAGTGATGTGATTATAACTCACGGTAACCTCGAACTCTTGGGCTCCAGTGATCCTCCTGCCTCAGCCTCCTGAATAGCTGGTACTACCAGCATATGCCGCCACACCTGGCTAAGGTTTACTGCATATCTTAAGCCCACTTCTGAGACCTACTTCTAAGAAAAAAAGATTCCTTTCAAAATATTAATGCTCATTGATAATGCCCCTAGTCACTCACGAGCTCTGATGGAGATGTACAAGAAAATGAAGGTTGTGGCCGGGCGCGGTGGCTCAAGCCTGTAATCCCAGCACTTTGGGAGGCCGAGATGGGTGGATCACGAGGTCAGGAGATCGAGACCATCCTGGCTAACACGTTGAAACCCCGTCTCTACTAAAAACAAAACAAAACAAAACAAAACAAAACAAAAAACTAGCCGGGCGACGTGGCGGGCGCCTGTAGTCCTAGCTACTCTGGAGGCTGAGGTAGGAGAATGGTGTAAGCTCGGGAGGCGGAGCTTGCAGTGAGCTGAGATCTGGCCACTGCACTCCAGCCTGGGCGACAGAGCCAGACTCTGTCTAAAAAAAAAAAAAAAAAAAAAGAAAATGAAGGTTGTTTGGATGTCTGCTAACACAACATCCATTCTGTAGGCCATAGATCAAGGAGTGATTTTGACTGTCAAGTCATTTTATTCAAGAAATATATTTTGTGAGGTTACAGCTGCCATAGATAGTGATTTTATGATGGATCTGGGCAAAGTAAACTGGAAGCTTTCTGGAAAGAATTAACTCTTCTAGATGTCATTAAGAACATTCATGGCCAGGCGCGGTGGCTCATGCCTGTAATCCCAGCACTTTCGGAGACCAAGGTGGGCGGATCACGAGGTCAGGAGATCGAGACCATCCTGGCTAACATGATGAAACCCTGTCTCTACTAAAAATACAAAAAAATTAGCCGGGCATGGTGGTGGGCACCTGTAGTCCCAGCGACTCGGGAGGCTGAGGCAGGAGAATAGTGTGAACCCGGGAGGTGAAGCTTGCAGTGAGCTGAGATCGTGCCACTGCACTCCAGCCTGGGTGACAGAGCGAGACTTCATCTCCAAAAAAAAAAAAAAAAAAAAAAATTTATGATTCATGGGAAGAGGTCACCATATCAACATTAACAGGAGTTTGGAAGAAGTTAATTCCAACCCTCATGGATGACTTTGAGGGATTCAAGACTTCACTTGTGGAAGTAACTGCAGATTTGATGGAAACAGCAAGAGAACTAGAATTGGAAGTGAAGCCTGAATATGTGACTGAACTGCTGCAATCTCATGATCAAACTTGGATAGATGGGGCGTTTCTTCTTACTGATGAGCAAAGAGAGAGGGGTTTCTGGAGATGGTATCTCCTCTTGGTGAAGATGCTGTGATCCTTGCTGAAATAACAACAAAGGATTTAGAATATTCCATAAACTTTGTTGATAAGGCAGTGGCAAGGTTTCAGAGAACTAATTTTGAAGGAAGTTCTACTGTGGATAAAATGGTATCACACAGCATTATATGCTACAGAGAAATCTTTCGTGAAAGGAAGTGTCCATCGATGTAGCATTGTTGTTTTATTTTAGGAAATTGCCACAGCCATCCCAACGTTTAGCAACCACCACCCTGATCACTCAGCAGCATGGAGGCAAGACCCTCCACCAGCAAAAAGATTATGATTTGCTGAAGATTCAGATGACCATGTTTAATTAAGTTTAGCCTAAAGCTGCCTCCTTATGTATTTTAAGTTCAGCCTAACTCCTTTATGCATTTTAAGTTCAGCCTAACTCCTTCCTTCCTCCCTCCCTCCCTCCCTCCCTCTTTCTTTCTGACGGAGTTGCTTTGTTGCCCAGCCTGGAGTGCGGTGGCAGCATCTCTGCTCACTGCAACTTCTGCCTCCCGGGTTCAAGAGATTCTCCTGCCTCTATCTCCTGAGTAGCTGGGATTACAGGCACGCACCACCACGCCCGGCTAATTTTTTGGATTTTTAGTAGAGACAGGGTTTCCTCATGTTGGTCAGGCTGGTCTCAAACTCCTGACCCCAAATGATCTGCCCCGCTAGGCCTCCCAAAGTGTTGGGATTACAGGCGTGAGCCTTTGCACCTGGCCTAACATTTTCTCCATACATAGTGAATTGTGTAAAGAAACTGTAACCTTTCTTGTAACGAGTAGCGAGTCTCAATCACAGCAGCGGATTTTTGGCCAATCACAGGTAGCCAACTGTTTAAACAGTACTCAAAATAGTCAGAGGTTGAGTTGCAACCAGTCCGGCTGTTTCCATACTCGACTGCCATTTCTGTAAGTCATTTTCCTTTTTCTGTCCATAAATGTTATTTGAAGATATGGCAGCCCGAGTCACTCTGAACCTATTTTGGTTCCGGGGCTGGCTGGATTCTGGACTCATTCTTTGGTCAATTCAACTCTGTAAAGTTTAATTTGTCTAAAGATTTTCTGGGCCAGATATAGTGGCTCACACCTGTAATCCCAGCACTTTGGGAAGCCGAGGCGGGAGGATCGCTTGAGGCCAGGAGTTTGAGACCAGCCTGGCCAATATAGCGAGATCCTGTCTCTACCCACAAATAATTTAGCCAGGCGTGGTGGCGCGTGTCTGTAGTCTCAGTTATCGGAGTTTTTATTCCTCGTGGGAACACATTTTGGAGAGGGGGAGGTATTCCTGTCTTTGCTGGGTGGGAGAACGGCCAGTGGGCAAGGGAGAACAAAAATGAGAACTGTGACTGCCAGAGGGCACGTCAATTTTAGGAAGAGAACGTGAGAAAGTTGGGTTATGTGGAGACTTGACATATCTACGCCACACGGAAAATCATCACGTGCCCTCCGGGGCAAGACCAAGGCCTCAAGTCCGGGGCAAGACCAAGGCCTCAAGTCACCCCTCGCAGCCCAGTGGACCTCACGGCCATCCCTTTCAGGGCTCCACAGCTACCCCCTACCGTTGCCCGGGTGAGAACCTCCCCGCACTGTGCGCGCCCCGCCTGCCGTGCGCATCCGCTTCCCTGGGATCCGGTGGCGCGCGCGCCCCGGCTGCCCCCCCCCGCCCCGCCCCTTCCGGCCCGGGAGATTTGATTCCCTTGGCGGGCGGAAGCTGCCACAACCCGGCGATCGAAAAGATTCCTAGGAACTCTGTACCAGCCACTTCTGTTAGGACAGCGCGCTCCTGTCTTGTTGGGCGCCGCCCCGCCGTGCCCTCCACCCCTCAGGTCAGTTTTCCCGCCTGCCCGCCGGAGTCGCAGGTGAGGGCTGGGGTCTGGGCTGTGCAGGGCGCAGCGGCCCAAGCCCGGTTTGCTCCTGGCTCTCGGGAGACTGGAGGATTTCATCGGAGCCCCGCGCTTTACCAGCCCTGTTCCCTGGATAAGACATTTAACCTTTCCGACCCGCGTTTTTCTCCTCCGTAAGTGGGGATAATGACCGTGTCTACTTAACAGGGTTATTGAAGTGTTCAGGCCAAGCGTTTGCCACCTAGGAGGCTGCGATAGATGTGACTTCCCATTTCCAGTTTCCGTGACTCTTCTCCGCTAAAAAAGTTCACAGAACAGTTTCGAGTTTTTTCTGTTTATACAACTTAGTTTCCTGGGGCAATCCAGTAAAAAAGGAGATGTGTTATCACTACCTTTTCAGAGTCCAAATCCATCCTCTCCTATCATCTCCCCAAAGTAGTGGCGTCAGAGGCGCACACTAAAGGGGATTTTTTTTTCTTGTTCTTCGAGATGGAGTTTAACTCTTGTTGTCCAGGCTGGAGTGCAATGGAACGATCTCGGCTCACCGCAACCTCCGCCTCTCGGGTTCAAGCGATTCTCCTGCCTCAGCCTCCCGAGTAGCTGGAATTACAGGCATGCGCCACCACGCCCTGCTCATTTTTGTAGTTTTAGTAGAGACGGGGTTTCACCACGTTGGCCAGGCTGGTCTCCAACTCGTGTCCTCAGGTGATTCGCCCACCTTGGCCTCCCAAAGTGCTGGGATTACAGGCGTGAGCCACCGCGCCCGGCCTAAAAGGGGAATTTGCACCGAATGCTGTATCAGTAATAGGAGCAGCAGGGTTGCTCCCACCGAGAAACCTGGTGTAGGGTGGGGGAGCTGGAAGGGGTAGACTCAGGAAAGGCTGCCCAAGAGAGGGATTAGGCCCCTAGTACTTAGGGCGAGTAATTACCTTTGGTATTTCTCCTTCGTTAGTGGAACGAGGTGAGTATCAGGAGCCTGGATTGTTGCTTAGAGGCCAGTGTTCCTAACTTTGGTTTGTATTTTGGTTTCTGTTTCCCATGGAGTCTGGGAGAAATTAGAAAATCAGAAAAGTCAGAAAAGCCCTTACTGGGCCTTCGTGGGCTTGTTTCGCCGGAGGGTCTGCCCTTTCTGTGTAACTAGTGTGGACCAACTAGATGGGCAAATCCATCCCAATGAGTGCCTCATTGTTGGTGCTCCCAGAAGCCTTTGCAAGGGAGCAGGGCAGGATGCTTATTAAATGTGTTGCAAGGCCACATTATAAACTATTCTGAGCCCCGCGTGGTGGCTCACGCCTGTAATCCCAGCACTTGGGGAGGCCGAGGCGGGCGGATCACTTGAGACCAGGAGTTCTAGAACAGCCTGGCCAACATGGCGAAACCCCGTCTCTACTAAACACACACACACACACACACACACACACACACGCGCGCAAATTAGCCGGGCATGGTGGCGCATGCCTGTAATCCCAGCGACTTCGGAGGCTGAGGCACGAGAATCGCTGGAACCCAGGAGGAGGCGGAGGTTGCCGTGAGCCGAGATCAAGCTACTGCACTCCAGCCTAGGTGACAGAAGGAGACCCTGTCTCAAGCAAATAAACAGACAAACAAAACCCAAAAAATCATTCTGTATTCTACTTCCTCTTTGAAATTATCCTCAGCATCAGTGTCTTTCCAAGCTCTGAGGATAAGGTAAATGTATTATGTGGCAAGTAATAGACTAGCCCAAATAATACTGTTAGAAAATGCCCCCGATTTGTTGCTATCCTTTAAAATTTAACCATAAACGTCTTCTCATTATCCCAATTCCTTGCTCTTCAGAGAAGTTTAAAGACCCCAATTATAGGCCGGGCATGGTGGCTCACGCCTGTAATCCCAGTACTTTGGGAGGCCGAGGCGGGTGGATCATGAGGTCAGGAGTTCAAGACCAGCCTGGCTAAGATGGTGAAACCCTGTCTCTACTAAAAATACAAAAAATTAGCCGGGCATGGTGGCACACGCCTGTAATCCTAGCTACTCGGGAGGCTGAGGCAGAAGAATTGCTTGAACTCGGAGGGTGGAGGTTGCAGTGAGCCGAGATTATTATGCCACTGCACTCCATCCTGGGCGACAGAGACTCCGTCTCAAAAAAAACCAGTTACATATACCCCCAATTCTTCTATCTATTTAGTCAAGCCCAGAAGGGCACTCAGGTGTCTGATTGGGGTCTAATTTCCTTCTTCATTATTCACAGTTGAGAGACTGTCTTCCACATTGACTGATAATATACCTCCTTCAGCAGCTACAAAGTTGGGTAACTCTGTTCACAAGGCTTTTCTGTATTCTACATTAACAAACTCTAGAGGATAAACAGGGCACATAAGAATATTTAGAACCAGCTCCACATTCACAAAGATTTACAAATCAAGTATAATCTGCGATTAGTGTAGCAGTTTGTAATGTAAGCACCAGTTTTCTCATATCGCATCCACAACGATATTCCCTGGATTCAGTAGATATAATCTAGGCCCACATTGGTATTACTCATCCAAAGACATGGTGTAATTTGAGAGAAGGGCGTAGATAGAGAAAATGGAAGAAAGAAAGGAAAAAAAAAAGCACATGGCTTCAGTCTTACCTTACTTGTTAAATGGACAGCTAGCCCATCTCTGGTAGTTTTCCAGAGGCCATGACTGGGATGTTTATAACTCTTTAGGGAGAAGTCTATTAAGTTAATTATGACACTCTTAAATCCCTAATCTGGGAAGTGAATTCCAACATTTTACAAATTGCTTTCTCTTTCTGAGTGACAATTTGAAATAGTCCAGTCCTTTGCATGGAATGTAGACATGTGCATTCAGATTTATAGCCCAGTGTTTCTCCATTTCCATTCTCCTGCTCTTTTTCTTCTCCTGTGTCAGGATTCCAGAGATTTCTGAGACTTAGGTTGACCTCTGTACTTTTACTGTTTTCATTGCCTTTTGGAATTTTTTAGTTCTATGGTTCCTGTTTGTTTTTAGGATGAGGTTCCTGTTTATCCCCACATTTGCCCCACTGACAAATGCCCTTTAAAATATTTCTGAATTAGTGTTGCTGTTTAAAGTATTTAATCATGTGCCTTCAGGTGCCCAGTGAGAATAAATTTGTCCTCTGTGGTATCTCTTTGCCATGAGTAACTTTTTCTACTCCAGTGGAAGCAGAATGTTTCATTGCTATCAATAGTTTTCCCTCAGCACTGGGACCTAACCTTGCTGCTTCTAATGTTTGCCTACCCTGTTCATGCAGATTTCGTTAGGTTAAATTTTCAACCTACTTATTAAGTTGGGTCTAGCGTGATCTTTTCCTAGGAAATGGCTTAATATTGTTTATTTTATCAGAATGTCTTTTTGCATGTTATCTTTTTGCGTGCTGTTTCTGCTTTGATGTTGAAGACTGAACCCTGTTTTTTAAGCCGATTTAATTTTTTTCTTGAGTTTTGATATTTTTCCTTCTAAAACTTCTGCTCTAGTTTTCTATTCATTGACCAATTTTTTTTTTTTTTTTTTTTTGAGATGGAGACTCACTCCTGTTGTGCAGGCTAGAGTGCAGTGGCATGATCACAACTCACTGCAACCTCCACCTCCTGGGTTCAAGCAATTCTCCTTCCTCAGCCTCCCGAGTAGCTGGGATTACAGGTGTGCGCCACCACGCCCGGCTAATTTTTGTATTTTTAGTAGAGACTGGGTTTCTGCATGTTGGTGAGGCTGGTCTTGAACTCCTGACCTCAGTTGATCCACCTGCCTTGGCCTCCCAAAGTGTTAGGATTACAGGTGGGAGCCACTGTGCCCTGCCAGCTTTTTACTTGCTGATAATAATTTTCCTTTTCTCTCCAAGTAAAATGATTCATGGAATCAGTGTTTCAGGCATTGAAAAATGGTATTTTTAAAACGTCCTTTGTGGCTCTTGGGGTTTTGATAACTTCATTCAGATTTTTCTCCACCTCAATTTAAGAAGACTACTCATCATTGTATGAAGGGCCTTCTCTTATTACTCTGTCTTCCTTTATAAGCTTACCACACTTCTGAGGTTGAACTCACACTCTAGGTCTTCCAAATTCATGGCCATTATTAAGGCTTAGTAACATGCTAGTCACTCAGTTCTGGATAAGAACAGGGTAAAGAACACAGAATTTGAAGGTAGTTTATGTGGCACCTGCCACTAATCAATTTGAGGCTTAAACAGTCATGCTTGGCCAGCACGGTAGCTCACACCTGTAATCCCGGCACTTTGGGAGGCCAAGGAGGGTGAATCACCTAAGGTCAGGAGTTTGAGACTAGCCTGGCCAACATGGTGAAACGCCGTCGCTACTAAAAATACAAAAATTAGCTGGGTGTGGTGGTGTTCATCTGTAGTCCCAGCTACTCGGGAGACTGAGGCAGGAAAATCTCTTGAACCGGGAGGTGGAGGTTGCAGTGAGCTGGGATCACACGACTGCACTCCAGCCTGGACAACAGAGCGAGACTCCATCTCAAACAAACAAACTAGCCAGAAGTGGTGGCATGTGACTGACCTTGACTAGTTTTTAATTTTTTTTTTTTGAGACAGAGTCTCGCTCTGTTGCCCAGGCTGGAGTGCAGTGGTGCGATCTCACCTCACTGCAAGCTCCGCCTCCCGGGTTCACGCCATCCTCCTGCCTCAGCCTCCCAAGCAGCTGGGACTACAGGCGCCCGCCACCATGCCCGGCTAACTTTTTGTATTTTTAGTAGAGACGAGGTTTCACCATGTTAGCCAGGATGGTCTCGATCTTCTGACCTTGTGATCCACCTGCCTCGGCCTCCCAAAGTGCTGGGATTACAGGCGTGAGCCACCGCGCCAGGCCTAGTTTTTAATTTTTTATTTTTATTATATTTATTTATTTATTTGAGACACAGTTTAGCTCGTTATCCAGGCTGGGGTGCAATGGTGCGATCTTGGCTCACCGCAACCTCTGCCTCCCGGGTTCGAGTGATTCTCCTGCCTCAGCCTCACTAGTAGCTGGGATTACAGGCATGGGCCACAGCACCTGGCTAATTTTTTATATTTTTAGTAGAGACGGGGTTTCTCCATGTTGGTCAGGTTGGTCTTGAACTCCTGACCTCAGGTGATCCGCCCGTCTCAGCCTCCCAAAGTGCTGGGATTACAGACATGAGCCACCATGCCCAGCTATCTTTATGCTTCTTCCTTTTGCCACTCCTAGCTGTAGGTTTGGTATGGGTAAGCCTTGGCTATCTATGTTTTCAACTTTTCAGAGATTTGTCTTTTACTTTTAAGTCTTTACAACTATTATTGATTTTGTTATGGTGTGAGATAGAGATCCAATGTGTTTTTTTTTTTCCTTCGCCTCATGGCTAACCAATTGTCCCAGCTCCAGATCTGCATTTCCATCACCTGTTACCTCTAAAAGCAGTCTCAGTTCAGTACCTGTCAACTTTTACTTCCTCTAGGATCTTTGCACCTAAATTCCCTCTTTCTGGAATATTCTCCCTCTAATTCTTTGTGGGCTATGACTGTTAAGGCCTACAGACCAAAGACCACATCCGCAGTAAAAATCATTAGATGTGTTTAGCTTGCTGCAGCAAGAGAAACCATACTCTTGAGAATTTTGGGTAGTCTCAGAGTGAGTTGAAAGGGGCAGAATGAGGGAATAATGAGGTGGGGCTGAGGATATCATTGAAGAGAATGAAGTCAGCCAAATAAAGGATCTTTATTTTAACAGCCTTGAATGGAAACATTGTTTACATGGTCATGTTCAGATTCTATTGAAACCATTGTTCAAGTTTTGATAGGAATATCACAGTCTGATTACTGGCGGGGCTGACTTTCTCAATTCTCATCCTTCGAATTAGAGCTTGGCTTAAATGTTACCTTCTCAGAAACCACTGTTGCTTATTTTTATTTCAGTATTTATTATAGATAATAATAATAATAATTATTATTTTTTGAGACAGAGTCTTGCTTTGTTGCCCAGGCTGGAGTGCAGTGGTGTGATCTTGGCTCGCTGCAAACTCTGCCTCCAGGTTCAAGCAATTCTCCTGCCTCAACCTCCCGAGTAGCTGGGATTGCAGGCGCACACCACAAGGCCTGGCTAATTTTTGTATTTTTTTTTTTTTTTTTGAGACGGGGTCTTGCTCTGTCGCCCAGGCTGGGGCGCAGTGACCGGATCTCGGCTCACTGCAAGCTCCGCCTCCCGGGTTCCCGCCATTCTCCTGCCTCAGCCTCCCGAGTAGCTGGGACTACAGGCGCCCGCCACCTCGCCCGGCTAGTTTTTTGTATTTTTTAGTAGAGACGGGGTTTCACCGTGTCAGCCAGGATGGTCTGGATCTCCTGACCTCGTGATCCGCCCGTGTCGGCCTCCCAAAGTGCTGGGATTACAGGCTTGAGCCACCGCGCCCGGCCAATTTTTGTATTTTTAAGTAGAAACCAGGTTTTAATATGTTGGCCAGGTTGGTCTTGAACTCCTGACCTTGGGATCCGCCCACTCCGGCCTCCCGAAGTGCTGGGATTACAGGCAAGAGCCTCCGCACCTGGCCTATAAATTATAATTATTAATTTGTTGTCTACTTATTTGCCTTTTGTGTTCTCCACTAGAATATACACTCCATGAGGGCAGAATCACATTTCTTCTCCATTACAGCCCTAGTGCCAAGGGCAGGTTTGGCATATCATAGGTGCTCAGTAAATATCTGTATGAATAAATGAATGAATAAAAGTAAATTCAAGAGTTTTCTAGGAGTGCATTTGCAGTTCTTCCAGACACACTGCTGATCTCTAAAAGTCAACCAAGAGGATATTTTCCACAAGTAAGACAGAGATGGTATGAGTGTGACTTTGTTTATTAATGTGCATAACAGGGCCCTACTCATTTCTATGGTTTTTTTAAAAATAAACTACTTAATTTTAAAACTCAGGGAGACAAAATCAGTAAGATCTACCTAATTTTTTTCACAACTAATTTTTATGTATTATTTGATGTATACTTAACTGTATATATAACCAACAAGTTGTGAAGCATAATAATAAAATACATCATATTCATATTAAAATTGTATATGACTGGGTTCTTAGTTTGGGTTTTCCTGATAATACTGATAAATTTTTTCATGGTTTTTTTTTTTTTTTTTTTTGAGAGTC